TCACTTCTCCCTGACCTCTGCTTCTCCCTAACTCACCTTTATTTTAAAAATTTGCTTATCTGACAATTCTCCTGTAAGGTCAATAACCTGTGATACAGCATTTATGGGTGCCAAACTCTGTGCTGAGTGCTTTGCCATAATCATTCCTTCTAATCCCTTACTACCAGGTAAGCACTGTTACCTACATTTTACAGGTAAGGAAACACAGGTAACATTGTATTATTATTTATGTTATTAGATTACATCGCCTCTCCCCATCTAACTTGTAATCCTCTCAAGAACTGCAAACAGGTTTCTTATCTCTTGGTGTCTTAGTTTCCCCACATGCCGTAGGAACTCAAAGGAGCAAATTGTTGATGTTAATGGCCGGTTTTACTTTCTGTCTACTCCATGAAGACGGAATTTTAAATGTAAATACATAGATGTGCTCTACAGGCCATCTTTAAAGCCCTAGAAACCTCACATCAAGCCAGGAAAATTAAGTGTGAAGAGAAGGAATAATACGTACGTGGGACTTGCCATTTTGAGAGTCCATTGATGTCGCTTTTGAGTCACAGGAAGCTTTGCTTCAACATTTAAAAGAGGAAGAAAATGTTAGGCACATTGTGACTATTTGAATATTCTCTTGGGTTGATTTCCTGCATTACATCTTTGAAAGTGTCCTGATTTTCCTATGTATTCCAGTGCTGAGTGGTATTTCCTGTCTCAGCCTAAAAAATGGGATTTGACTCTTAACAGGAAGTGTCAGTAACAGCATCAGCTGCAGTGACAGAGATGCTGCAGCAGTGACTAGCACATTGTAACACATTTGAATTTGGATCTTAAAATAAGCCACACACGCTGAATAAGTATGTAAATGTATATGAAATAAGTATGCGTGCCTTATCATAATTTTAAGTCTGATTTTTATTGTCAAGAATGTTTCCATTTAAGAGTTTTTAAACTCTTGCCTTAAAGGGTTGGCCAAAGATCATTTCTGTGTTTTTTAGTCTCTTATATCCAAATTGTCAGATATTATGTGTGAAGAGACCATTCAAGGCAGAATCATGAAAATTACAGATGGAAAATTAGGTCATTTTCTTTTTCCTTTTCCAATACAGGCTGCTTTCCTTACAGAATATCTTCAAATATTTTTTCCATCCTTGTTTAGAATGACGTACACGAATGATGGGGCCATTACAGGTTCCCCTGGGAGGTTATTCCACAGAATAATGGGACTTGCTGTAGGTATATTTTTTACCTGATTTTTAACCTAAACTTTTTTTATTTTTTGCTCAATTTCATTCTGTTACCCCTTGGACCACCTGTACAGTTCTTCATAGAAGGTTGCAGGATGCTCCTTTTGATAGGAATACTCAAAATAATTAAAGGGAACTAGGTCCATTTATGTTTGATGTGCATAAGTCTGCTTTGTTTATCATGTGCTTATTGACATGGCCTAAGGAGGCATAATGATAGTGGGTGATTCTTAAACACCACAGAACTGGATAAGAAAAAGTTCATAAATATTCTTTTAAGTAGGTGTAAAAAATATTAGGCCCCTTCTTTTGGGCATACGTCAGGTCTCTCATTTCTGGGAAAATGAATGAAATAAGCAACCTGATCAGTCTCGTCTTGGATTGTCTAGAACTTCTCCAGTAAGTTAGACTTGCATTAGTATGTTCAGTTCGGCTTCATACTCTAGCCATAAACTGGGGTTTCCAATATGCCGTATCCCAGAGACACCAACCTTGAGGCTTGTTGCGTGCTTTATTGGTCTCTGTATGTCCATGGCTGAGCCCGTGCCTGGCAGATATCAGGCGCTTTGTTGGATAATTGGATCCAATGAATTATGTACTAATTAGAAAAAAAAGTAGTGAGAGCAGCCATGAATCTAGTATTTTTGACACCCAGCGCCAATCATTTTCAATACCCTTATATGAAAGATGTATTTCAGTAATAATTGTGCAATGAAATGAGTAATAACAGCCAGAAGAGAAATATAGACAATAAAGTTTTATTAAACGTAACAGATAATCATGCAAATAAATTAATTAAAAATAAATGTTACAGAATAAAAATATTTTAGATTTATATATATATATAAATTAAAATATAATACATTAATTATTTCTTGGGAAATAGGAAAATACTTTATACTGCCATTTATTCCATTGCTTCCAGAGGCGGTATTGAAGCGACTCAAGTGTGCCTTCTTTGTCTTTACAATCATTGTTTGTTTTGAATCTATTGTTTTAAACACTTGAAGCTGTAGTACCCTAGGAATTGGAGATGCTAACTGCCCTCTAGGTAAGCTCAAAGGATTCCAAACCATTTTGAACTTACTCTCTAAGTGAATGTGGACAGCTGAGTCTCCGGGTATACAAATGGAGGTTCCAGAATACGATGTTTATTTAAGAATAATATGTTTTTATATATATGAAGATTACATACGTATTATTAAAACTCAGCAGTAACCACAGCAATTGCTTAGAACTTGGACCAACGAAAGATACTTTAGGGGGGAGGAGTATTTTATCATTGACATTGTCTAGAGTTGGCAGAGCATAGGGAAAATAAAAAGCAGTGTGCCTTTGAGCTTGTCATTTCTTTTAGTTTATTACTGAAAAATGCTTAATATTATTTAAAAGTTTAAACTTTCTCTACAGACCACGATGACTTGCTTGCACTTGGGGCAGACCATTCCCATTTCCCTGTCCTGGGTTCACCACTGTGGAGGATACTAATTCTGTTTTGAACAAAATTTTTGACAAAAAAAGAAAATTTAAAAATCTCAAGTCATCCATTATAGTTTGACTTCCATGGTTTGCAGGCATCCAATACATATTTTTTGAATGCCTAACGAGGAGAGAGAGTGGAGGATGGGTGAAATCCCTCAGAAGGGGGCTGCGGGCATTGGAAAGTAGCAGGCCAGTATCAGGTCCCCGGGGGCAGCAGAACAAGGACATCAGCAATTTAGAAAGGGAAGTGAGCAGTAGAACAAAGAACTGATGTTTTGTTCTGTTGGTGATGGTCATGGGCTGCTGGCGGGAAGAGCAGAAGCAAGAGAGTTTCTCGAGGCTTAACTTCCCATCTCATTCTTTTCATTTTTACCTTTGACCGGGGTTAGCCATACATGTTTTCCCCATTCTATTGCTCAGTTCCTGAGAAAACCCTTCCTACTCTTCCTTCAGTGACTTATCTGCTTCTGTCGATAATCTGGAAATTTTATGGTGAAACTGCAAAAGGGTGAAACACTAAAATGCATCTCAGGTCATGTGGAACATTTGTATGCCAGATGCGTAGTACAAGTGGGGAGTACTTTGCATTAAATTCTTTCTGACATTCTTCTCTTCTCAGGCTCAGTTTTCTCTTGCTGACTTTATTTTTTTTTTGCGGTACGCGGGCCTCTCACTGTTGTGGCCTCTCCCGTTGCGGAGCACAGGCTCCGGACGCGCAGGTTCAGCGGCCATGGCTCACGGGCCCAGCCGCTCCGCGGCACATGGGATCTTCCCGGACCGGGGCACGAACCCGTGTCCCCTGCATCGGCAGGCGGACTCTCAACCACTGCGCCACCAGGGAAGCCCTTTGTAGGCATTTTTATACACTTCCTCTCCAGTTAGAGCAAGGGTAACCAAGAAGTGCAATCCTCTGAGACGGCTCTTAGCCGTTCTGTTTTAGTCCTCATCACTCTGTCCAATAGAAATCTCATACAAATATATGAGAACGCCCTGTAACCTGTTTCATCTTGGCCCCTCCATCTCCTACTCTCTTATCAAAAATAGAATTTCAGCATACCCATTAGGATGGCTATTAAAAAAAATAGAAAATAACAGGTGTTGGTGAAGATGTGGAGAAATTGGAACCTTTGTGCACCGTTGGTGAGAATGTAAAATGGTGCAGCCACTATGGACATCAGTATGGCAGTTCCTAAAAAAATTTTAAAAAGAATTAATAGATGTAGCTAGTGGGAAGCTGCCGTGTAGCACAGGGAGATCAGCTCGGTGCTTTGTGATGACCTAGAGAGGTGTGATGGGGAGGGTGGCAGGGAGGCTCAAGAGGGAGGGGATATATGTATAACTGATTCACTTTGCTGTACAGCAGAAACTAACACAACATTGTAAAGCAATTATAATCCAATAAAGATGTAAAAAAAATTAAAATAGAGTTAATATATAATCCAACAATTCCACTTCTGGGCATACACCCAAGAGGACTGAAAGCAAGGAGGAGGTATTTGCACCCCCATGTTCATAGAAGCACTATTCATAATAGTCAAGATGTAGAAGCCGCCAAGTCTGTTGATGGATGAATGGATAAACAAAATGTGATATATCCATACAGTGAAATATCACTCAGTCTTAAAAAGGAAGGACATTCTGACACATGCTATGGCTTGGCTGGACTTTGAGAACACTATGCTAAGTGAAGTGAGCCAGTCAATATTGTATAGCTTAATTTATAGAAGATACCTTTATAGAGTAGCCAAATTCATAGAGACAGAAAGTAGAATGGTGGTGACCCAGGGTTAGGCTGAGAGGGAAATGGAGAGTTGTTGTTTAATGGGTACAAAGTTTCAGTTTGGGAAGATGAAGAAAGTTCTGGAGATGGAGAGCGGTGATGATTGCACAACAATATGAGTGTACTTAATGCCCCTGAACTGTACGCTTAAAAAGGGTTCAGATGATAAATCATCTAACGTTACATGTTTTTAACCTCAGTAAAAAAAAAAAAAAGAAAATCTGACAACATTATACACCTTAATCCCAGAAAACTGCATGTGAAAAATAATTATGGGTATTTTACCACAATAAAAGATAATTAAAAAATAGAATTTCAAGTTTGATTGTTACACATCACTCTTCATATAAAATAACAGAGAGCTATTTTAGGGGAGTTAGAGTCTGATGGCATGGGCCACATGCTCTAGCTCAGCCTAGGCGAGTTTTGAAATAATGCTTGGTGGTTGGCGTGGTTTGAATACAATACATGGTTAAGCGGTATTACCTTGTTCTTTCCAGGTCAAAGAGAGGAACAGAAGAGTAAATCAGAAAAGGAAATGGCCACCCCTGTCTAATTAGATGGAGAGATTACATCCCCAACTCATCTACATCATGTTTAAGGATCTGAATGGTCACTTTAGCTCCTGTTGCATCTTAGTGGAGGCTGCTTGTGCAAAATGATGTTTGGCAAAATCAAGTAAGCAAATTGGATGTCATGTGAATTAAAAGCAAAGTTGGGAAGAACAGAAACCTTCAAAACCTGCAATGGGATATCCACCTTTTGACATTTAGGTTACCAGGCCAGCGATGGCATGGGGTCTTAGTAAAAGAAAGCTCTGATTACTTTGGAGGCTATTGGGCGATAAGAAATAGCAATAATGATGCTTTGAATTAAGGCATTTCTCCCCAGGGCTCACATATGCAATAATTTCTTTTCACAATATACTGAGAAACCAGGGAGGAATGGGTAGTATTATCTCCAGCTTATAGTTATAGAAGGTGAAACTGAGGCACAGAGAAGTAATCTGAGTTTGAAGCCGTGTCTCATTGGCAGGGGTAGCAGTAGAAAACAGGATTAATTTCCTGATCTCCGGGCCTCCTGTCTATAAATAGCTTGCCTTCTGTTCTGTTGATCCTGCCCAACAACGCTGCACCCCAATGTCCCCAAACATGGCAACAGTTGGCTCCCCAAATACGCTTTTAAAGCAGAGAAGCCTTACAAGAAGACTGGGTCCTTTAGGCCCCTCCAGAGGCTAGCAAATGTGTGGGTGACCATCACATAACTTCAGGGTTGGCTCGTGAACCTCAGTTTCCTTCACTGTCACATTTCTCTGTTTCTAACTTCCTTTGAGCAGGGAGAAAAGACAACTGGGATTTCAGTGAACTCCATTTTCTTGGCTCACAAGTCACAAGCTCCAGTTAAGTGCCACCCTGAATAAGTGGCTCCTTTGTGTTGAGGGCGAGACCACCCCCTGACCCAGAGATGCGGTTTTGCAACACGCAGATGGAGATTTCCAGAAGTCCTCAGCTGGAGCAGCTAAATGTGACTGAGACAACACAGTCCCATAGACAAAGGTCAGACCTATTTTAATCTCTGAGTGAGGCTATTACTCTGGGACAAGGCCCTTCTTGTCTGATTTCCTGCTATTTTCAGTGATTCACAAGCCTGACTCTCTTTCATCTGGGAGTGCAGAGACCCATCCCCCTTTTAGATTTGTTTGTGAGTTAAAATAGTTCCCATCCTCAGTCTTCTCGGAGTGTCTACTTGCAGCCATAGAATTCCTCAGGCTGTGACCTGGAGGAGTCCCTGGGAGGGAGAGTCAGGGCAGCTTGGAATGCAAGCCCAAGGGAGGAATCCGGAGTGTAACAGGAAGTGGGGTTGCTGCTTGCTTGCCCAGAGGCTTGGAGCCGATAGATCAGTGGGGCTGACTCCTCTGACAGTGCTCTGGGAGGCTTCTGCAACACAGCCTTACGGAGGCTTGCCCTGTACTGTCTGCTGAGGTGTATGCATCGTGCAGGTGTTTCAGTCCAATCCAGTCACTGTAGAATCCAATGCAATTAGGATGAAAGACGCTCCTTTAGTTTCTTGATGACACAGCCCTCATGTTCTGTAATTGCTGGTCCATTTGGATTGATAACCCTCGTATTTATGGGTTATTTCTCCAAAGTGAATGCTGCAATATAAAAGCCTGCTTATCCAGTTATCCTGTGGCTTTTGAGTTTGCTAGTTCCCTCTTTTCTTTAAAAAATTTTTTTTAATAACTTTATCTACTGTGGAAACATCTCAAATCACTGTTTCTTAATTGTTTAATACCTCAGTTTGATGTAGACAGAGAAGAGTTTGAGAAACGTAGCCAAAGCTAGCCTTCAGGGAATCTGCCCAGAGTAATAATAATGATGAGTTGACACTTGTTGATTCTGTACTCCTTGCCAGGTACTGTGCAAATGCTTTATACGTATTCTCTCATTTAATCTACATAAGAATTCCATGAGATCATTTTACTGAAGACAAAACAAGGTTTAGGGAAGTTAGGTAATTTTCCCTAAATCACACAATTAGTTTGTGGATAGAACTAAAATTCCATCTCAGATCTTCATGCTGCTAAACACAATGGAACAATTTTGCTGAAACTTTGAGAATAAATGTTGGATCTTCCCTAATGTCATGGTCTTTGTGGATATCATACAGTTAAAGATTTTCTACATTTTCTTCTCATTCTTTTTAAAGAAAAGGTCCCTGAAGTCAGTGAGAAACTTTGGTGAGTTGCCCTTTCCATTTGTTTATAAGAGGAAACGTTAACTTCTGTGATTGTTCCACACATTCTTGCCACTTCCCTAAATCAAAGAAAAAAAAGAGCCAAAAAACATGGCTGTAATGGCTGTTTTCATATCAGAAGGTCAAAAAACAAAGATCCATGAGGAAATAGTGGGAAGAGAGTATTGTCACAAAAACACCAGAAGTTGCATAAATAAATAAATAAATAAATAGTTTTGAGGGGGATGGAGAGAAGAAATTAACATTTTGTCTCTGAATTCTGATTCAAATCTAATGTTTTCAGAAGTGACAATTCATCCCACAAAAGACTGAAGGCTTTTGGATTTGGTTGTATCAATACTCCACCCACAGAGTAAAATTGAGAATTGATTACACCTTGCTTGAGGTCAAGCAAGCAGCAGAATCCACTACTTTTGCTGTGGACTTTGTCTACACCCCAGAGCAAGGTGGAGAGAGAAGCCAATTATCCAAATTTTCAAGTCAAAGAAGTACTTTGGCTTTAATTATCTGGTAGAAAGTGTTTGGAAACCTGAATTATTTGCGCATATTTTTATCTTTGCTTGATACAAACAGAGTGACTTTGTGTTTAGGCCATTTCAATTGATAGTTATTCAAGCTCATGTGAAGAGAGGTAGCTTCATGTTCCACTGGGAGAGAAGGGCTGAGATCAGAGATGTGGTTTTTAGGTCACTGCCAACACTGAAGAAGGATGCAAACAGGGCTTCTCAGCCCCAGCTTTGCAGGAGAATCACCTAGGGAGCTCTTAAAAGTGTACCAGTGGCCCTGGTCCCATATAAGGCCAACCAAGTCGGGATCTTTGGGGTTGGAGCTGAGGCCAGGACATTTTCTAAAAGCCCCCTTGTGATTTGAAAGCATCCATGGTTGAGAATCATCGGATTCATCCTGGATATTATCATTCTGATGATGATAAGTATAAAAAAGATGGAGAATACTTCAGTTCCATTGTCCAAATGATCCACAGACATTTGATTTTTAAGAATATCAAAAAGAGATAAGGCAAAATGACAGTGTAAGTTAATCTTCTTGCCCTTTCCAGTGGCACTGTGGTCTCATATACCTGTCTCAGGTAAAATATGCCTTATAGTTCTCAAAGTTAGTTATGAAAGCAAATTCTAAAACAGAAAACTCTTTCAGAAGGATGAGAAAGAAAAATCTCTATCTGATGAGTACTACCAAATAGAGAACAACATTGACCAAAAACCATACTTTTAACTGATTCAGAAATCACCTTCACAAATCTTTTGGCTTTATATTTTACTATTCGCACAGGCACAATTATTTTCCATACCCATTTGATGGTTTAAAGAAGTAGTGGTTCTCAAACTTTATTGTGCATCTAAATTACCCAGGGAACTTGGTAAAATCCAGATTGCTGGGCTCCATTCCTGCGGTTTCTGGTTTGATGGGTCTGGGGTGGGATCCAATAATTTGCATTTCTAGTAAGTTCCCAGGTGAGGCTGGTCGTGGGACCACAGCAAACTAAAGTAGAACTTGAACACTTCTCCCCAAAACTCATTATAAGTTTGTGAAGAATAATGTGAATATTTACTTTAGTATTATTTTTATTCCAAAATGGATTTGAATGATTCTCTAAAAGTACACATAATAGGTTAAATTTTTAAATTAAAAAAAAGGTAAGGAAATTAGGGTGAAAAGTAAAGTTTGAGTAGTAAGATAAAATCAAACAGCACATACATATAAAAGGTATTTTAGGGCTTCTCTGGTGGCGCAGTGGTTGAGAGTCCGCCTGCCAATGCAGGGGACACAGGTTCATGCCCCGGTTGGTCAGGGAAGATCCCACACGCCACAGAGCGGCTGGGCCCGTGAGCCATGGCCGCTGAGCCTGTGCGTCTGGAGCCTGTGCTCCACAACGGGAGAGGCCACAACAGTGAGAGGCCCACGTATTGCAAAAAAAGAAAAAGGTATTTTAAAAAGTAAGATACAGAAAATGAAATATATTTTACTATTTAACAAAATATACATTTGAGAGTATCAATTCTATATAGCAAATCTTATATCATTCCTGAGCTTTTTCTTACTTCTGAATTCCTTTGAAACTTAGATAAGATAATATTTAGCTATTCTGAAGTAAAGTAAAAAAGGAAAATTGCCCGGCCAATCCTAGGGATACTGGCTAATGATGTGAGATTCTATTTGGCTCTTCCGTATATGCATAGACTGCTTTCAAACAGAATACAATAAAATGAAACGAGGGTGACATGCCTGGTTTATTTAATAAAACTGTGTGTACAGTAGATAACTAAACTGAAGAAATGATTTAGAGGCTTGAAATGTTTAGATTCATTATCTACACAGTAACACAAAATCAAAAGCAGGAGGCAGTCTGAGCAAATGAAGCAAGTCAGGTGGAGAGTGTGGTCCCCTGACGTGGCGCCCTGTCTAACGGGAGCACGTGGCCCTGTGCTGTCAGATAGTTGATTTATTGAGAGAAGCTAGGGCGAATTTTTATACAAAATGTTATGAATTTTAAATGTTGACAACAAATTCAATTAAAATAAATAACACTATGTGAGTCAAACAGAATCGATTTGGGCCAGATTTGGCTTTGCTAATTTGAAAACTTGTCTTCAGGAATTAATTTTTTCCTGGTTAATTACCAACTCCTCTTTGCATTCTGAGTAGGTTTCTACCCAGGCAACTAATTGAAGCAGAGCCAGACAAATTACTGACTGCTATTTGCATGGCTTTCCTTTAACCCACTGGTTCTCCAAGTGAGGTCCTAAGTTGTATTAGCATCTTCTGGGAACTTGTAGAAATACAAATGAGACTTGCCCATCCCAAATGGGCTAATTTCATATGACCCGCCCCAAACTTACTTAGTCAGAAACTCCGGGAATGGAGCCAGAAATCTGTTTTAACAAGCCCCTCCATGTGATTCTCATGCCCACTAAAAGTTGGAGGGCCCCAATTTACTTGAAGAGAATTTAAGGCAGCCTCATTAAACCAGAACAGATCTACTGGGTTGGTAATAAGATGAATACCTTACCAGCATCCGGAGCCAGAGCGCTCTGGTTATGCGACGTTCCAAATGGTGCTGGGTATCATTACCCTGTTAATAGATACTCTGGTATATTTCATTGAAAAAGATATAATTCCAAAGTAGCATGGAGAGTCTCATTTGAAAAGTTTGCTGAAGAATATCTGTCAGTTTAGGGATCGTGTCAATGGTTATTTACTCTTTCTCACCAACTGCTCCGGTTGTCGTGCTTGGTGTCAGCTGAAAATATTCTCACTTCCTTTCTCACTACGTTTACCAATTTTCGGAGGGTCACTAGAATGTGAGTATAGTTATAGATCCTTGTAACTAGCCTTCTAATGGGAAAACAGCTTCAAATATACAAATAAGGGTCAAGATATATCTATAGAAGAACACTTATTCTCAACAAAAGAGAATTTAATCTTAAATCAGTATATTTAGCAATATCCAGATGTGTGGTAACAAATACCAACATTTCAACTGCACATGCTATTTTCTTCCCTATATTTGACATTTGGTAGTTAGCTGGAGCAGTATAAGAAGCACTGGTGGGCACTAAGGAGGCTTGGTTTCTTCATGTCTGTCCCTATCCCTCCATGTGCCTTGGACGGGTCGTTTGTGACTTCCCTTTTCTCAGCCTGTAAAAGGAAGGCCTTGCACTGTATGATCTCTGAGAGCCTTTCAGCTCTGAAAACATTCCGTGATATTTAAGGCTTATTGTCATGTGGGTTACTAGTCTTAGCTGAAGCTTCTTTAGTTGTTTGGCTGTCTGTGGATTGT